TCTCAGGTGGCAGAAGGCTGTGAAACGGCCCTTCACAGCTGGGGGTCCTGACATCCTATTGGGAATGCTGGTGTTGGACCCCCTTGCCCACAGAATTGATACCACTGCTCCCTCCAACCACAAGGCCACCTGTTGTCACTGGCTTCAGGTCTTTAGAATCTTCTTCCTGGTCTGCTCCTGCTTCTGCATTTGGTGACTCTAAGTGTTCTCCTAAAACATATGAAGTATTCCTTGCTGGACTTCACTTGTTTGTCGTCACCCTTGAGTTTCTTCCTGTGCCCTACCACCATTACCACACGCATACCCACACACACCTGGGTGAGTTTCATAACACTGTGCAGGACCAATGGAGCTTGAAAGTCATGTGCAGGCTTGACGAGCTCCTCTCTTGCTTACCTTGTACACGCTGGTCCCACCCTGGGCCAATCCCTTCTAATATAATGTCCCATTACGTAGGTAGACTCCAGACCCACACTAGCACACTGCAAGGTCAAAATTCAGAAGGAGAAACAGGAAAAAAAAAAAAACCCTTTGTCCATGCACATGTGCTTTACATGCCTCTAGCAGGATTCCATTTTCAAAATACCAAAGGCTCATTAACAGAGGACACTGACATTAGTACAAGGTGCAAGAGCCAATCTGTCCTTATTTTGCTTAATCTGGCAGGTACTTGCACAGACCCCTGCTAGCAGAGAATGTGACTAGCAGAGTCAAAAGCCCCAGCTGCATCAGGATTGCTACCCAGTGTTCAAAAAGTACTCTCTAGAAGTCACAAGATTGTTCTGCAAAGTTATAGTTTGTTGAGTGTTTTTCTCCAGGCTTTGCTTGCTTTATAATGGGATTTTGCAATCTACTGCAAAGCTAACCTTTGGAAACTCACCTACCCCCCCAGACTGTATTTGCTCACAAATATCTGTCTTTTCATTTGGTGTGGGCTCAGAAGCAGCAGTGCCCTCTGGAGGCAGTCTGGTGTGGTAGCTGGGAGATAGGCCCTGGGCTATTTCTTGGCTGTGTGACCTTGGGCAAGCTATTACCCACTCTGTTTTTCAATGTTTTCATCTGTAAAATGGAACTAAAAACAGTGCCCACTTCACAGGGGCTGGTCATGAAAATTAAATTACATAATGCTTACAAACTCCTCAGCATGGTGCCCATATATGATAATTGCATTAGGACAGCCTTTTAGAAAAGAAGAAAAGAAAAAGAACTGTCAGATACTATTTCCTAAACTAGCTGGTAGGGAAAAGGGTTGAGTTTCTTCAGTACTTCAGGGGATTTTTTTAACCAGAGCTTTTACAACTTTACCTTAGAACTGACTCTTACATGTTCTCTCAGCTTCAGGGCTCAGGAGAACCAAACAGGGAAGAAGAAAATCAGGGAAGAGTGATGTCATAAAACAGGAGTTGGCAAATCTTTCCTGTAAAGGGCCAGACAAATATTTAGGCTTTGCAGGCCATGTAGTCTCTGTCACAACTCCTCAACTCTGTCATGTAGTATGAAAACAGACACAGAAAATGGACAGGTGTGGCTGTGCTCCAATAAAACTTTATGTAAAAAACAAGTGGCCAGATAAATATAACGAAAGAGAATTTCAAGAAATGAGGAGTAGAAACAGTGTCAAAAGTGGCAGGAAGGACAAGTAAGGGAAGGACAGAAAAATATCTATTCAATTTGACCACTAGGGAATCAGTGGAGTGAGAATAGTTAAAAGTGGGGACACGGGGACAAGCTGAGGTGCAGAATCTTCACTGATGAAAAAAAAAGTATCTGAACTAGGCCTTGAAAGAAAATGCTGGAAGAGGAGTCTATAAATGCCTTTCTTTATTCCTGAGACTGAAGTAC